TTAATGAAAAACTATATCCCACAATTTAGCGGGAAATCATCAAAAGTTGTAACTTTAATTTTAAACCCTAATGAAAATGAATAAGAAGAGGAAAATAATGATCTAATTACACTAATCACCAGAATTAAACTTAAAGATTCCATACACATCAAATTCATAACCAAAGTAAATTGTAACTTTGGAGATCATGTAGTGGGTCATATATAAGAAACCATTAAATTTTATGAGAGTTATTGGAATCAAATTTATAAACTATAATATTATAATATAAATACTTGGATAAGATTAACAAAATTCATTAGAGCATAACGGAGCCTCAATATAACAAATATCTCTATATCCATAATTTTTTTTATAATATTAATTAGATGAGCAGGGTGGACAAATATTGTTTTTAGGTAATCCATAATAACAATTTGTACATTGATTAAATTTTGGCCCTGTGCATTCTTTACATGATGGGTAACATTTAAGAGCTGAAATAAATATATTTCTTATAGAATCTTAACCATCATTTGTAATTGATTATGTAAATTAGTAATACCCTGAAGTTGAATTAGATAAGTTGATGTAAAATTAAACAATTAAGAATGAAAAAGGATTTATTGAAAAGTAATCAAGCATATTTATTAGAAAACAGCAATTTAATGAATAAGACTTTCATTTAATAAACTAATTTAAAATAATATTGTATAAAGTTGCTCAAGGTTAAACTGACAAAATTTATATCTAATTTAACATTTTGTGAAATTTTATGTAAATAATAAGCCCTCATTGAGAAATTTTCTATCAAATCATTAACTAAATCTTGAGTGTCTTCTTGCTGTTACATCATTTATTTAAATATAATAATGTATTTAATTATTATTTATGCTACACTATTTTAATCATTAATAATAAAAAATGAAATAGATAGCTTTACTTAGACTGAGTTTCCTAATCAGCTTTTTTCTAACAGTAATTACAATAAGATCTTGAATAAATAATGTTCGATTCCAGAATAAATTTACAAAGACGGAAATTCTTTACATATTACTCTTATTTATTCTTCTAGAGCATCTATAAGAGCAGATTATTGACTTGAGAAATTAGAAATTAATAAACAGAGTAATTTATTTAAAATAATTAGATTTTAAATTAAAAATAGGTTGTTTAGTGGGTTTCGCTTATTGTATTACTCCAATTGGTATGCTTTAGATGACTAAAAAATTTACATTGTAAATGCATTTAACAATGAAAATTTCAAAAACTAGATTTACTTGCACAAAATTAAAAATGTAAGTTCAGAGATAGGTATAATAACTCTAACTAGCCATAATTTTGAAAATATAACTTTTAAATTACAAGTATTTGCTAATTAATTATTAAGATTGATGAAATAACAGCAGATAATGTAAAAGTTTCATTAAAATAAAATCCAGAATAATTTCTTAAATTGGCTTAAGTTGGGTTTCAAATTATTTTGAGGTTTAAAGAAGCATTTTTGGATTTTACATTTCTAGACTCTTTTAGTGATTATTCTTACATTAACATTAACATAAACTAAACAATTTATAGTTTATAACACCATATTTTGGGATGTCGTATCCTAATTCAGATGCTGTCAGATTACATAAAGCATACAATCCACTTTAAGATTCCAAAATTCATTATACTCTTTCTACATGTAACCAAATAATTCAATGAAGTTGGCAGTCCTTTTACCCCTTACTTTCATACTCATGAAATTATTTTGCAAAGTTTTGCAACTTAATTTTATCCCTGAAAATTATAATAATTAAAAGCCATAAAAAGATAAAATCAAGGGTGTCCAACTTTAATATATTTTCAGGTCTTAGAAACTTAATAAGAAATTGATTCTTTAGGTGACTTTTTCTTAACAATTGATAAGGCATTTTCAGAAATCAGAATTTCAATCAAAATACCATGTCCCTTAAGAAAATCTTTATAAAGCATATTCTATAAATGCCTCCTCTTTGCTACAAAAAAGTATTAAAATACTTATTATTGTGATGACACAATTAAAGAATTCGATTTTACAAAAAAGTTTGTAATAGCTTTATGAATATTAAGAACTAATAGTCAAATTAAAAAACAATCTTTATTAAATGAATTAGATACAGTAAATTTTATATAAAATTTTTGGAATCAAATGATTGTACTTTATAATTAATAAATAGAAGATGTAGAAATTTTTAGAATTGCTTTAGAAGCCTGTTGATAAAATACTAAATAAATGTTATATTTTATAAAATCTTTTTTCATCAAAATAATTTCTTTGAATGATTTTAGAATATTCATCCCAGTATAGCGACAACTTAAAATTGGTTTTATTTCTAATGATTAAATATTTAAAGAAGGAGGTAAGTTTTAAATTGTCAAGTGGATTTTCTTAACAAATTTCCATTCGTTAGCATAATAAAGGAAGTAATTAATTAAGTATAGCTTGTAATATACTTTGAAAATTAGTTCGTTAAAAAGATTAATTAAAAATCTTAAATTATGAAAAAGATAAAATTAAAGAAAAACCTTTAGTATTTGATAACTTTACATATCATCTGGAATACATATTTTCAAACTTATTACCTCTCTAATTGAAAAATAACTAAATTAATTCTAATCTGAAGAAAATTTGAATAGCTTAGATTCTATATAAAAATAAGACGAATTAATAAGAAAACTTAATAATTTTAATTTTAAATTTACTTAAGCAGGTTAAATCTGTTAAGCTTATGTCCATAAAATTTTATAGGCTCTTCATTACAAATGATACTGAAAATTTAAATTAAGGTTTTAATTCTTTATTTAAACCATTTTACTCTTCCGCATCCAGAAGTGCAAGTCAATTTATCGATTCCTGCATCTCCTTAATTAATGGAAATAGATTTATGCTATTAATACCCAAACAAGGATAGGGACCTAAATTTTTATTTCTCCTTTTTACAGGAATTTTAAATATTGCCATTTATTGATGACTAACTTTTAGGATTTCAAACTTATATTCTTGCTTATCTAAATCTTTAATCAAATTTATTTAGTTAAAATAGGTTAAACTTATTTGCTGTAATCTCTAAAATGGAATAAAATTCATTATTATATAATTACATATATTAATAATTTGCTAATACACATATTTCTGTATATTTCCATATTTATAATTCTTTAGATAATTTATTCCAAGTAATCAAATATTCTCCATCATCACTCATTTAAACGAATAAACAATAATCCCAAAATTGAATAGATGACTCAATTTTAAATACATCATTTTCTATATTTCTTATTAAACTGATATTATCACTATGTTTAGTCACAAGTAATTATTTTGGTTTTATATCTTATTATGGGGAAAATATATAATCATCATCACCACCTTGATCAACAATAATATTTTTAGTTTTAATATGTCATCTGCTTACACTATTCATCTCATAAACTTACATCAAATTGCCATAATCAGGTTGAAATGTGAAAAGATTATTGTTGATAAAGCATAATCGATATTTTGACTAATCAGCTTTAATTTTTTATATCACAATCCATTTTTATTATATCCAGATGAAATTTATTCTTCGTTTAAACTTAATTAGTAAACATAATTTTGATGATCTGTGATTGTTTATTAACAGATCCATCAATTGTCTTTATCCAAAACTTAATAGTTTTATCATCACTACTTGATATTATATGTTTTAATTATGATTATGATTTTATTTATTAATTTTAATTTTCTTAATGTCATTATTATTTAACTTGATATTTGATATTAGATTTGATTAAAGGTGGCAATTCTTATACAATCCTTAGATTAACCATTTAAAAGGAATTAATTCATTTCATTTTTTACCTTTTCATGAAAAATCATCACTTCTTAACACAACCAATTTTTTACCTTTTTTAACTTTATCAAATTCAATTCAGGTTATTCTAATCATTACATAAATTTAATTTGTTTCCTTCTAAAATTTCTATTAATGTTTCTAACTTAGGATTAGAGGATTCTTCTAGATTTTTGTTTTCGTTGATAAAATTAATATATGATTTATTTTCCTGCTCCATCATATCATAAATTTAGTTTGATTAATTCCAATATTTTCTAGTTTAGATTCTTTTAGTTTCTTTATAATCATCGCAAATCTATCAATTGGAATTGGTACTCTGCTCAACAATATCCACCCTAAGATCTGAGAGGCATTCAGCACACAATTTCCTTTAACTTTAGCTTCTATGAGGAGCTATACATATGAACGATATTTGTTTCATAATATGATAAGTGCAATTCATAATTTATTTATATTACTTTTGTTTTGAATTTAATACTATAAAAAATCTAATATATTTATTTTTAAAGTAGATCAGACTCTAGGTGGAATATATATGAATGAGGTTCGAACACTAAATGAGAAATCGAATTAATACTTATATAATTCCTAATCTAAAGGAAAAATACAATCAAATACAACACTTTAATTTAACCATTACTTAAATAATGACCATCTACAATGGGCAACATATGAAAAGGTTAAAACTGTATTTAATTGAAAAGAGACTAGTTTAGACAAGAAATAAAAAGGCAAAAATGGAACTAATCATTCGAGTAAACAAAATTAAATATAATTAATAATAATTAGCAAGAAGAAGAAGAAGAGATAATATTTTCGGAAAATCATTTTGGGTTAAATTATTCTTAGAATAAACTAGCCATAAATTTAAATATAAATATCATAAATATCCTTACCTTACCTTGTAAAAAAATAAAAATTATAATAAAAGATCGCTACAGGGATTCTTTAAGCAATTTTATTTAAATTGTTAATAAAAATTATGAGTCAAACAAAACTTAAGATAAATTTAACTAACAAATTAATTTTATATCTATTAATTTTAATAATATTCGTTACAATAAGTAAATGATTAAAATATAAATAATATCATTAATCAATCAGAGATATTTTTACTGTAAGAAGTGAAGAATGTAAAAAGAATTTTTAAAATATTAGAGGATTAAATTAACATAATTCCAAAATGCATAAAGTTAGCCTTAATAGAAAGTAATAAGACTAATAATTTAATAAAATATGAATCTTTTAACGGGATCTTAATACACGTAAACCTGTGAGTGAAAAGGTGGCCCACTCATAAGGTGAAGAAGGTTTAAATATTTATGTATTTTATACTCATATTCTTACTCGTCTTATAATCTCTCTGTTTAGGTTTTATTTATGCACTTGATAATATATAATATCCAATAAATATTCTTTATCTTATCAAATTTATTCTAAACATCTAACTATTTATCATTTTGATTCATTCTTCAATCTTCTAAGGGTTGACTCCTTGAAAATCAATTTTTTCTCTAATATTAAAAATAACTTTTCAATGCTACAAGTTCGAATTTATAACTATAAATTTATATTGACATTATAGAAAACTAAGCAAGAAAAAAATGTGTTGATTATGAATCCTTACCTTTATTTGGCACTTAGTATGAAATGATTGATGCTGACTTTATTTGACAAAAATTTAATTAAGAAAAAATTGAATGCAAAAAATATAAAAACCTTAAGCTTCATTATTAATTTAGAGCTAAACTATATTAAAATATAAAATTAAATTAAATTTATAAAATCTAATCATTAGATTTTTAAGTTAAATTTTTCTTTAATATCTGATATTGAGGATTTAAATAAACAAGTATTAAAAAAGAAAGTATTCCAGAAGAATCTATCTGTCTTTTTAACTTAAAATCTAGAGTAATATAAATATCAAAGTCCAAATTAAGTTAATGAAATAAATCGTGTAAGAAAGGCAATATAAATAGGTAATTCTTTAGGACTTTATAAAATAAATAAATAAATAAATAATGAATATGTAATTAGAAAGCATAGAACAAAAAAATCAACTCTCAAAGGATTTCAAATATTTACAAATAGTTTCCAGATTAAGAATTAATAATAAATTTTTTTAAATAATTTTTCAAACTTAAGAGTACAAAAGCAATATAAAATAAACAATTAGTAAGTAATTATGGTAAATCATAAAGGAAATAATAAATTCGATTGGTAGAGTGATTAAAAACTATTTTTATTGATAGATCCTGTTTTACTTTTGGGCTAAAGTACTAATCCCCTTTTATGGCGAAATTGCTTAGGCTTATGAATATTTACAGTTTAATAATTTCAGTTTAAAACGAATAGCTCTATAAAACCTTAAGTTTTCTTAGCAATAATTTATTAAATTTATAAAAATCGAATAAATATACCAAGGTTGTTTTCTCAGTATCATTATATTAATAGTATTAAATAAATTAAATTTTATGTCATCACTTATTTTCATTGAATCTTATAGAAAGTGTCTTGCTTCTCTTCTTCTTCTGATTTGAGTCTCTAAGAAATTTTTTTTTTTATTCCATCTCCCATTTTTAAACGATAGTCAGGGTAACCCCTAATTGATAAGGCTAGGATTTCTAATTCTTCAAGTAACTGATGGTCATCTTTATAAGCCATACCATATTCAGCCTCTAAGAGGTCCGATTAGACGTGGAAGTCTTAATACCTCGGCATGTGCTCTTTAATTTCAAAAATTAAATCTATAATCTAATCACTCAAAGGATCTGTCAATATTAATCTAATTATTATGCGGAAAATACTTTTAGAAATTATGTGATTCAATTTAGCTTAATATCAACATAAGCTTCAAGATTTATTTCTTTAATATTAATCTAATCCATGAATATTGAAATATATATTTCTATCAATAGTCTACAGTAATATTATATAATAAATAACTACAATATCTTTCAAGAATTTATTTACAATATCTTTCAAGAATTTATTTAATTATTTTATTATTTGATTGATTCCAAGAGGTTTTTTAGATTAATGTATAAGTCTTGAGATCAACTTTGGATTTTACCTCCTCTATTATTATTACTTTTTTATTCTTCAAAATCATAAATTATTCCTTCCCAATCGATCTTGTAACTTAAAGGAACTTATGCTTGGCCAGATGGGACAAAATATTATGTTTAATACTTTAATGATTAAAAACATGTACAAAAATGGTCCTAAATTTGAATGAGCAAATAAAGTAAATGGAGCTGATACAACTTCAATAAATTTATGGCCTTCAGTTAAGCAACATTCAGATAATAGAAAATAATAATAATGAGCATTTGTATAATTAACATAAATCCAAAATAAATTCATAATACAAGATCCTATATATTTATTTACATTTGATAAATCAAAACTTTTAACATTTAGTATATCTTATCATTTTCAAAATAACTTATTCAATCTGCATATTCCTATATATGTGCTGATGAAAAAGTTTATTATAATGATAAAGTGGTGTTTCACCATTTGTATTTGGAAATATTGCTACATTTAGTTTAAAAAGCCCCAACTAATACCTCTACCATATTAATAGTAAAGAACATTCTTGACATCTATATGAAAATAAATTTTTCTATCCTTTTTTCTTATGTTATCTATAAATAATTCCAACTATTGATTTCAATATTTTTGGGTCTATATCAACTAAAATTCTGTGATATATATTTGATTCTCGGCCTCTCAAAAACATGTTTCCCTCGTTGATCAAAGCAATAAGATTAACATTTGTAAATCAAGTTGATTTCCACATTATCCTAAATTTAAAAATATTCATGTATAAATTTTATATATTATTTTTTTTTGAATAAAAATTAGATGAAAAACCCATAGCTTTATCATAAAAATCACTTTTCCAATTTGTTAGTATCTTATATTATTTCTTGAGTTCCATCATCAATATCTTAATGATCATCCCCCTTCTTTTTTTTCATTTATGCAGTAATTTAAAATTTTTAAGCTTCCTCATGTTTTTGATTATTAACTTTTGTATTAATAGTTTAATTTTAATCTTGCTCAATTTTAATAGTAACTTATTTATTCTCCTAATTATTTTATTCAATATTATTTGTAGCTCCATTAACTTCATTATTTTCCGTTTAAATTTATTCGTTATCTAAAATATTAGCATTCTACTCTTCATTTTGCTTTTCATTCGGATCTTTATTCATTTAAGACTCATCTTAATCATATTTGTTAATTGTTGGTTTTGCTCCAATTTTAAGAACTTCTATTTCCATTCTCCCGTTCCTAATATCACCATCATTTACTAAATTGAAGTTCTTTTCCAACTATTATTTACAATATACTTGCCTTTTTCTAAAATTTGATTAAAAAATTATTACCTTATTTTATCCTTAATTATATCAGTAGTTGGAGATGTATATGTTCCATTTCTAACTTTTTATAATTAGTTATCAACAGTTTGAATTCCGCCAATTACTTTTACAACAACATCTGGAATGAATTAAGCCTCTCTTGATATTGGTAAAAGAGGAAGTTAATCAAAATTCTTCTCAGCTTTCAAACTCTTTTTCAAATAAAAATTATAGATATCCTAAATTTTAGGATCTATTATTTTTTTTCCATCTTATTCATAAATTTAAAATAAATCTAAATCCGAAACACATTCCTTAAATATTCTTTCTGCTTTTTCATTACATTATTTTAAAAAATCTCCATATTTTTTATTATGTTAAGAATATTAATCAAAATGAATTCCAAAAGATAAATTTGCCTATAGAATAGTTTTATTTTATGCTATCGGAATGTAAGATTTATCTTCTATGTCTTTAAAAGTTTTTATTGTTTGCTCTAATTCACCTAAAAGGCACAACACATTTTCCAAATCTTAATATATATAATATTAAATCTCCATTTAGGTTTAATCTAGTTTTTATGTATATTATTGTTGTTATATTTAATTGAGCATTAATAATACTTTCTAAATAAATTTATTAGATTGATTATATATAAATAAAGTATTCTATTAATAATATCCTTTTTTTATAATAGAATAAAAATTACAAAATAATCATTTATTAACAAATTATATTAGATATTTTAATATAAATCATGACTATGAATAATTGTGGTCAATCACATTAATTAAGATTAGATATTGTAATATGATTGGAGATAAGTCTAATCCTAAAATCTTCAAACCAATATAAATTTATTCCAGCAATCAGATAATGTTGAATGTTCTAACAATAAATTTTTTTTTTT